GGGTCAAGTTGGTTGGATGGATACATCTTCTCTTTTTCTATCTCTCTTTCTCTCTCTCTCTCTCCTTTTATCTATATCTCTCTCTCTCTCTCTCTCTCTCTCTCTCTCTCTGCACGAGTTTCTCTCCGATCTTGGTTACGCTTAACACTTACGAATACGTGGTGAGACATGGTACATAAGTATATATACAGATTTCAATGGACCGTACTCTCAGCGTACATTGAGCGTCAAAAAGTAGCCGGTCCTGATCCGAATCCTACGTTTGATTATCATGATTAACATAAATGTTGCACAAAAGATGAATATAATCAGGCGCTGAATGTACCAGAATACGGTCAAATTGTAATCAATCGTGTACAATCTGTTCGACAGCAAAAAGTGCAAAAAATGCTCGCGTTAATCAAAATCGTGAAAAATTTATTTTAAAAAATGTTAAATTTTATTTGAAATGTAACTATTATATTAAGGCTGAAGAAAACGATAGAAGAGGCCATGTCGCATTCTTATAACAAATCGAGATATCTTCATATGCAAAATCATCCCTGTTCAAAGGTATGAGATAAACCGAGCATGTGTATTTCTTTCATTCACTTTTTTTCTTTCAATTGTACCAATTTAAAATATCGCTGAAAGATTAACGCAAAAACGTTGTGCTTAAAAAAGAAGGTGGTAATAAAACGTTCAAGTGCCATAAAGGTGGTCGCGCAATACATTGGAGGTATTTCATTTCCGATCCAAAAGGAATATGTTGCTTTCCGAATAAAAGATCGCCGAGAAATAAATTTTTCGCTATCGTTTATGTCTGTCATACATTTTTCCTGCGAACCAATACATTGCGGGACCTCACTCGCAGGAACGCCAGAGCTGTTTTTATTTGGTATTGTATTTCTCTTACTGTATTAAACACGCCTAGCTTTATTTAACAAGATGATACAGGGTAGCTAAAATCTGTTAAGCATGTAAGCTCTGCGATATCATTATAGACTAATGTACATCTCAAGATTATCTGCCTACAGGATTCTATGCACGATGTAGGAATACCAAGCACAGTAATGGCTTCCCTTAATAAATCATCTGTCCCAAGGAATGAAATTTTGTTTTCGTTTAAATACAAGTATTTCTTTTAATTTTGTTCTGAAATAGTTCCTCGATTTATTATATTATCGTTATACGCATCGCTTCACTTGGTATACCTACATGCATGATGGGACTGTGTGAGCATTTTCTAACGCATTTCCTCACGATTTTCTCACTTATGCTTTTTTCATTGTAAACAGTCACTTAAGAGTCCTGGGCATGAGTTGACGTGAGTTTATTGTCTCGAGAAAGAAATGGAACGAGACCGTACAATCTAAAATGAAGAAAACGCAATGAAGATATCTCGCGATCATGGCGACGGTTGATCCGATCATCGGAATAATTTTTCTGCAAATGGGACTGATTCTTCATGCGATTACCACGCGTTCCGATAAACCATGGCCACGCTCGCGATAGGTCAGTACTTGTTGTGATAATCCGACCATTATGTCCTACACCCGATCGGTCGCTACTTGCAAGTACTCACTATAAACTAGAAAATTGAGCACACAAACACTTATCTGGTGATTCCATTATCGATCGTCTTTATCCAAGTGATGAAACATCTTGAACATCCGTCCAAATTGTTTTCCTTTTTCATCCGCGATTGCGTTAGACTTGGATCTAACCGACCGTTCTTTCGCGGCTAGACGATTTCGATTTGACGTTTTTCGACAACTTACAGAACAATAAATCAAAAAACGCTCGAATTATCGTGGAATTAGAAATCTGACTGTGTTTTTTTTTATGTGTATATATGTGTTTTATTAGTTTAATTTCACAAAAACATAATTTACACGCGATTTCATGCAGACCCTTGGTCGTCTCACGTGCATATAAGGATTAAGTTTATTACCGTTACAACACTATGTGTATTAGCTTGATTGATTATTTCATATTGCGATGGTCGATTATAATGCTTCAAAATTCACCGTGTTCGCATTTCTAGCGAACTCCTCGATCGCTCGATTGCAGATCGTTTTTTCATCAAAAAGAAGACCACAAAAGTCATCTAAATCATCACGTTACATGATTGTGACGTATAGTGCATTCTCAACACGATTTATTACAAAGACTGATAAACACATGATTCAAAGACGATTTTCTTTCACGCACTTTCCTTCCCTTTCTCTTCATCACACATATTCATTCACGCGCGCGCGAAAAATTTCTTTCTATCAATAGAATTTCTATCTACTACAAAAAGAAATCACATTGGTATAGCTATATATACTAATAAGTTTTTTTTTTCAAACAGTTAATTAATTATAATCCATAATATATTGTAATAATAATAATTGTAATTATATATTTATATTTTATATAAAAAAAAAAGGCTGTCTTGCGACGGTGCATGAGCGATCGCGTCCTCCGAGCCTATCAGAAATCGCTCGTAGAAAATGAAACGTTACAAGAAAAGCTACATGTTCATTATTATAAAGAACCTCAAAAGAATTTATTATTAATGAATTCCGCCGCTTCATTACATTACACAATCAGTCTTTACACGATAGCGTCGAATATCCCGATCTCGGAGGGCGTGTCACGATAGTATATGTGTGTTTCTAAGACTTAGCATCGGATCATAATCGGGTTTAATAACGCAAAATATTCCAAACGCTCCAATCTGCCTTTTCTTTTTCCTCTAAATAAGCTAAAAATAATACATCAAAAACAAATAAAAATCCTACAAAATGTTTCCGTACAGTGATTCTTAGGAGGAAGTGAGCTAATATGGGCAAGCGGAGCATTATTATCTCCAGAAAAATGATTAAAAAGCGTTTCATTTTTCTGAAGAAAGATTCCTTTTCTTTCCAAAATCAATTTTCAAAATCGTCGATCGATGGTAATCTTTCGTGATCGAGAGGTGATTGAGAATCATCATCTTCTTCCTCGGCTTCGTGCAATTCCTCAATCCTCTCTACCCATTTAGACAATCGTACTCACGCTCCCATCTGAACAATCATTTAATAACACAAAACGACGAATCAATCCTTCGCCAAGTCTTCGTACTCGCTACCCGGGCGTCCGTACGCACTTTTTTTTTTTTTTTTTTTTTTCGGTGTATTACACAAGTGTACGCTAAAAGTATGTAGTAGTAGATTTGTATTTATATAGTGTTCCCCCTGTAACATCATTATCATCCTGCTGCTTCTCCGTTCGTTCAGTACGGATTATACTTGCTACGCTCGGACTTGAACTTGCCGCTGTCGGTCGGGCCTGGTGCGCCCGGGCTACGGAGCCTCGGCGTAAAGGTCTTGTGCGATCGGTGCACGCCGGTAGTCTGGACCGGTAGCGCGGATGCAGCTGCGCCAGCAGCACCACCTAGCAATTCCGTGAGTCCGCCGAGGGCGGTGAGGCTAGATAGGGCGTTGAGGGCGCCTGGCTTGCTTAGCAGCTGAGCCAAGGGGATGGCGCTGGCCAAGGGAGAGGCAGTGGTAGTGGTGGTAGAGGGGGAAGCACTGGCCCCGGATGCTCCGGGAGTGGTACCGCTGCCAGGGGTTTGGGTATTATGGGCCTCTAGGTTAGCTTTCTGCAGTTCGACACTGGGAAAAGACACAAAATGTAAAAAGGTGAGGGCGGGAACGTTCCTCGTAAAACTGTGTGTCAAAGAGATTAAAGAAAAAAAAATTCAACATAAGAGATGATAGTAAGTAAAAAAAAAAAACAAAAAAAAAACAAGACAACAGTAAAGTAGTAGCAATAGAGTTATAATAGTAATAGTAGCAGTAGGAATAGAGTAAAAGTAGTAGAAGAGCAGTAGTAATAATAATAATAATAGTGGTAGCTGTCGCGGAGAACATAAAACAATGAGAAAAAAAAAAAAGAATATGACAGAAAAAAGGAACCATCAGAAAACAAGATAAACTAAATCACAAGTTGTAGGCTTAGAGAGTTACGTCAGAGGTGCTCTGTGGAGCATGATTATCACGTACACCGGCTACGTGGTTCGTGGGGGAAGAGAGGGGGCGGGGCGAGGGGGAGGAAGGTCTCGATCGCGCCAGGTTGCATTTAGACTCTATCGAATGTCCACGGTTGCATTCGTACTGGACCTAGACTGACTCGCTAATAAACGCCAGTCAGCCGTGTATCCATGGAATGGAGACCGCCGAACACGGAATCGGTTGAAATGCATCCTGATCGCAAGGAGGATGTACACGAAGAAGTGAAGAAGATAAGCACGCGTTCGCTAGTCTACTCTTTCAGAATACAAATTCCTACGAAAACAAATGTCACATCCACCACTAATAAGTAGACTTGCGAACGGTGCGATTGTTTCTAGGTGTAACGGGCTTATGGTTCGTTGTATAGACGAGAAACACCATTGAGGGATATTTCTGTTTCACGATTGCGTCATACAGTAAAACATTCGTAATTCGTGTCAAAATGACTAAAAGTCCGATGGTCTCTACGTCGATAGAACGAGCCATTTGCCTCGTCGGCTTATAGAAAAGGCAGAAATCAAAGTAAATCAGGCACAAGTATGCACTCTGCCACAAGTCGCGTTAATTGCGTCATACAGCTTGATACGTTTGAGATCACGAGATACGCATATAATCGCGACGCATAAATGGTCAATGATCGACTCTCAAATATACGTCACGTCTAAATGAGAAATTAGAACTAGATAAATGGCAGAGCGCAGACCTGTGGCCGACAGGAGTGCCGGGATACACGATACGTAATAAATATGATGACAAAGTTAACGGGCAAAATACAGAAGTATCGAGATGATAAATATATATAACGACATTGCGCTATTTATATGCAGTAGTAAAATGTGAGTGGCAATCTGGAATAAAATATAATGGATTATAATTATAACGTGAGGGTGTACGTGTGTAAAAGTGTATTGATCCGCGTGTTTGAATCGCACTTGGCTTGAGATGCTGGTGGGATCTTACGTGTGTGGCGCGAACTTGTGCCGACTTTTTTGTCCGTCGTCCTCAAATCTCATCGACGACTACGTTAGTACCGTTCACCATTTCTAATGTCGCTATGATGGAAGTAGATTAGTTCCACAGCATATAATTCAATAAAAAAAGATTAAAAAAAAAAATAATTAACAGATCTTCAACACCGACCAATGAACATTAAGCGATGGCAACGACAGTGATGAAAGCGTATAACTAAAATGTAAAGATGCTACGGCGAAGGTTCCTGGCAAGGACGAGGAAAACCCCCTTCACATTTTATAAAGACACGATGTTTATGCGTAATGCATATATTTTTCTAAACATATTGCCAGAAACATATTTGCGCGGCGCCAAAGATAAATTGTACCAGTATCTTGTTTTCTTTTTCGCGAACTGAATTATAAATACACAAAACGGAAATGTAAGCGTAAATGTTACAAGCTGATCGTCCATTACCGGGAGCCTGTCAAACTAGAAAGAAATTTGTGTCATTAAAAAACGAATCGAAAGGAGGAACTGTGATACGATTGTTTGGGACTGTTCGGGATTGATTGTCACTAGCAGAGCGACAGTCCTCGTACATCTTTTCATTATGTCTTTCAGTCGGTAGTTTATTTGCTTGAAAGGACAGCCAGCGGCAATGGGAACAGATGTTGAACGGAGTTGTGTCTGCAGGATACTCGGGGTACTGGACCTGGAAGACAGGACCTGGAAATAAAGGATTAAGATCCTCTTCCGTCTTACGGTCGACGTCGATGATTTTCCAGTATCTGCATACATGAACGCTGGTTCACCTCGATCATGGCCGTCGAGATGCGGCGTCTTCTCCTCGCATCGTTACTTTACGATTACGTACGACCTGTTTCGCTGTAAACTGAGGTGGCGTTACGCGACGCGATTTCTTCTCTATTATTTCATCCAGAGAAATTTTCCCCGATGATTATTATTATGTTGCTTGTTAACAAACTACGCGCGTATTTTGCAGCAGTATCATCTCCTCAGCGTAACACCACCTCTTTCATAATATCTCTCGCGGCGACACGCAGTAAAGACGACTTTTCTCCTAATGCCAATTATAATCTTCTCAGAAATAGGGTAAAACTTCTCTAATGTCCGTTTTAACTGCAAATTTCTTGGGAAGAAAATAAAATATATATCGTCTTATAGCTATCCCTCTTACGGGAACAACGTATTGTCAAGCACATTGTGTTGAAATTTTATCTTTAATTTTAAATTTACGTATAGTTCACAATATTTTCTGCAGTAGCTCAATGGACAGAGGAAAATGGACGAAAGTCATCTGTACGCGGGTTGTCGTGAGCAAGGGTGATAACAGTAATGATGGGAGATATATCGCGAGGAGTGCCGATTCGACTATCCCTTATATAATCTCATCATTAAGAAGACATCAAAATTAAGTGAGGCAACAGGTTGCGTGAGGAACGAGTAGTTTCAAACAGGCGAATCGGCGGATCTCGATCATGGGGTAAGGTCAACAAGAAATCACTCTACGCCAGCGACACGCGCCACCAATTTGGCGGGCAGTGTCGGCAGAAATGCGGGGAAAGTAAATAAATAAAAATGAATAAATAAATAAAGAGAGATCGGGGGGAAAATGCATCGCGATCCACTGTAAAACGTAGCCGGGACGAGTTCGACTGCTTTCTATTGAAAATGGATTTCGGTGAACACACCGAAAGCCGAACCTTGGACGAACCTCTTGGAATGGCTTCCTGTCGGTCCGAAGGTTGACCTTCGGTTTGATAGGCTTGAGGAATATGATATATACAGACCACGTAGTACTCACCTCATGTTGATGAGATATTGTGCCAACGCTACGGCGTCCGGGTTCCCGGTTATGGTGATCGTGCGGTCCGTTGCTCCGCCCTCCCTCTCCTCACAGTTGCTGATTCGGATCATGGCGCCGGAGATCTGACGGATCTCGGCGATCTTGGTACCGCCCTTCCCAATGATGCAACCGATCAGCTCATTTGGCACGGTCATCTCATGCGTCTGATTGTTCGCCGCCGGTTGCTGCCTGTTCGTGTTGTTCGTACGCAGCTGGCTTCCAGCCAATGCAGCTAACGCTATGCCATCAATTGCGCAAATATTAGAAAAGTTTCTTCCTGAATTTTGCTCGTAATGAAAAATTCACGAAAGAGCTTTCCTTTATAAAACTAGAAACCAATGAGGCAACTGGAAGAAATGCTTTTGTATAAGGGCTGCTTCTATAAATTAGTTGCATCAAAGTTCAATTGTGGCTTACTGATGTTATCGCTCTTCTTTCAGTTCTACTCTAAAGCTCCAATAAACTTCAACTAATGTTTGTGAGAACAGTTCATAGATAAATTTAACTTCTCATTGCGGTATACGAACCTGTATTAACATAACTCTTAGTCGATTGCGTAGGAAAAATTTATTGCAACACTATATTGCTTATTATCAGATTAGTTTTGAAATTGATTTCCAAATACAAATTTCAACAGACAGTCCACTGTCAATTGCCTCATATAAATTGTGTTAACAATTATAAAAAATGTACAAAATTATAAATAATTTTTAAAAATATATGAAAATAGTTGAGAAAATTATCAGTTCAAACATGTAAATTTGTTTCTTGCGAAATGTAACAGTCGCGAGACCGATACCACTCAACATCATACAATTCAATACATACCACAATGAAAATAAAGAGACAAAACGAGTATATTAATCTCTTCTACATAATTTTTTGCGAGACAGAGAACAACATCAACAGGGTACGATTGCCGACCAACGAATTTCTTTGAAGTCATACATTGACTTACCTGCTGGATTAAGACCACCCGTGTTTGCCGGTGTGGCAAGACCTCCAAGGCCTAAGGCTGCTAGTCCAGCCAAAGGATTGCTGCCCAGTTTGCCCATCTGTAACAACGACGAAGAGATCCATCGTTCAAAAATGAGGAAGGGGCGGGGGCGGTCCGCGTCGAACAATCACTCGGGGTGTGCTTAAGAGGAGATGGGGGTTTACGACGACACCGAGAAGTATATCTATATATGCTTGAACATGTTCGCCACCTCGCGCATCACGCTCGAGAATTTCCAATTGCGAGCAAGAATTCTTAACTCAGGGGCAGCCTCGCTGAGAGAGAACGTTCGGTTCTACGTAAGAAGGGGGACAGATGATATCTTTCGCAATCGACGATTTAATTCGACCATCCCGGATTCATTACAGTCGTGACATAATCAACGCCTCGTCCCGACTTCCTGGGACCGGTCCGATAGCTTCCTCTAATATATTAGAGGCTCTACGATAGTCATTCGAGCGTACCGTTTTTAATTACATATATCGACCTAGAGCAAGGACTTTAATGTCGCAAATAGTTAAAGTTTGAACGACGTTTGTTCTTACTTTTTCTTATGTGGAAAGTTTACCAGAATGTTAAATTTATCTTCACGTATCAGTTATTCTTTCCGTGTCAATAAATCGTTGATTCGACATAAGAATTATTGTAAAATAGATCAAGATTCGAAAAAAAAACATTCTAGTAACAACTGATATCTAAGAGATGATAAGATTAAATTCCAATACTTGTACGAATTCCATTGTTCAATTTTTAATCGTTTTGAAGCCGTATTGTTATACTCGATCTATTTTTGAAAATATTCTAAATTTCGTTTTTTAACAACAAATAATCCATATCGAAAAGATTCCTTTGCTTCTTACGTCATAATGTATGCGGAAATTGAAGTAGAACAGTGTCTACCAGTCGCCTGAAGCAGTCTACAACATTCCACGCGTTTATCGCAAAAATATAAAATCTCGCGTGCCTCTGAAATACATTAAATTGATAAACGGCAATATATCCCGGAAAATTGCTCTGGCGGGATAAACGGTACACAGAATGGCCGTCGATAAGATAAACTATTTCGAATCGCGTTGCGTTACTTCGAAAATCGTGGCAGAAATTACTTAGGGACAGCTTGATGAGGAAGGGGCGCTCAGAAATTACAGAAAGAGAAAGCGAACGAGCGCGGAGAGAAGAAGGATGTCTGTATCCTTGTATTCTCGCGATACCGTTAAATCGCGCGAAATGTAACGCAGCAATTCTCTTTGCACCTACCGTTTCCACGTTATGCAAATACTTACATGAAGTTTCGCATCAGTTTATTTGCACTGACAAAGATTTTATCGCATTTCATCAAGTATAATCCACTACGATCCTATTATAACGGCATGTTGCAGTTACTATTGTAATCAGAAGATGACTAAGTACTCTAATAATTAGTCATAAATTATTTTGATTGGCTGTAATAATTATTTAGTAAACATTAAAACAAGCTAATTGTTTGAAGCAAATACAAAACGTTTGAAGAAAAATTGTATCTAATTACTAATAGTGATATATTCTATTTTTATTTTCAAAAAGGATAAAATGAAAGGTAGATAGGAAGGATGGAATGTATGTATGTACCTTAAACGAGTGATAATACTTCATTCTCTATATCACTGTTGTCAACTAAACTAACTTATGT